ATTGGACCATCCAATTATCAATTTTATTAACAAATACAAACTAATCATTAACTTAAATTAATTTTATAATATTCTATAAATCTTAGAAATATTAGATATAAATGCACTACAAATACTTTTTGAATTATAATTATTTTTAGGAATATGATGACCGACCAGCAATTTCTAGACATAATGGAGATTATGATGACAGAAGATCTTATGCAGAATATAGTAATAATGATATACCACAACGAACATACGCACCAACATCTCCAAGGACACAATACTCTACAAATGAAATTATAGATGAAAGACGCGCAGATAGAAATAGTTATGACTACGATAATAGACTGAAATCTGAATATAAAGAACATCATGACCATAGAATTAAAGATTATGAAGAGCAACATCAACCATCATCTCAACCTAGACGAATGGCAGTTCATCATAATGTAGAGAGGGTTAGAATTAAAAATTAATGTTAATTTGAAACATGTTGACTCTCTTTCTAGCTAAAATAATGAACAGAATAGAATTTTTCAATATTACAGGAAGATTTAAACCAAGTGCATGGATGGGTAAGACATTCAGATAAGGAGAAGTGTAGATCACAGTTTCACTATCACAGGAGGCCTGTTACAAGAGTATGTTTCATGTGTTTTTATACAAATCTAGAAATATGGAACAGAAATAACAAAATATTGTGATTTTAGAATTCCAACATTTTATCAGCTGTTTTATGCTTAGTTAAAGAGCTTGACTATCCGAGTTTGGAAGTGGTAGAAATGGCAGTTAGAAATCGAATGGATGAATTAGAAGAATGATGTTTCTGACGCCGTCCCCAAAATACTCAGGGGACGGTTACCTTCTCTCATATGGGTAGTGTTTCTTCAATTCCAAGTCCTGAATTTTCGGATTCTCTTGATAGTATGGTAATTCCTTGCCAGTGTATTGATAACGATGCAAACTGTAATCTTGATCATTCTACATATGATCGGCATTCGATCGATGATAACACTGATAAACAAAAAGTTCGTCGTAATGGTTATGTGGAAACTTGTTCAATGCGAAGTCCCAAAAATATATCTGTTAACACAAATTCAAAATATTTTGGAAATAATCAGAATGCATATAAACTTAGGGACTCTGTACCAGATAATTTAATGTCAGTAGTTGGTAACTGTGAAGAAAGGAAAACCAATGATGTTAGAAGAGTGGCAAGTAGTGACAGCATCCCCCGCAGTAACTTTAATGGTTTAACTCTAAGTCCAGGATGCAGGGTTTTGAGTCAGGATTGTGTAAGAAGATCAAAAAGTCCCGATGTTAGAAACACAATTGTCCCTCTTCGCTACATTCAGTCAGCAAAAGGTACTTGGACATATAATTTGTAAGTTAAATTGCAAATAACATTAATACTCTCTCGAAATAATAATAACTTCTCTTAGAAATATATTTCGAGAAATTCCTAAACACTATTAAGATAATCATTGCATAATTAAAAAGAAATGGCATAATTGTGTCCAATTTCTGAAGAGAATATATATATATATATATAAATATAAAATTAGAAACAATTGTGATATTTCTCCAAGGAGTAAAAAATAAAATTTTATCTCAATTATTTGGATGTAATATACAATGTATGAGTATACTCCAGATGACACGTTTATGTACTTTAAGTGAATAATGCAAAAATCAGAAATAATGAATTTTGCATTGTTTAGAATAAATTTAATATTTTATTGCATTAATAAGGTATCGAATGCAATGTCTTTTAACGTTACATTAATTTCGATATAATGTTATTTATAATTTTCACAAATATAAATAGAGTTGTGTTTTTAAACAGCCAAACATAGCTTTTTATAGCAGTTTGTTTAAAATATTGCAGAACTGTTACATATTTTCAAAGAGTTTCTATAAATTACGACGTGATATAATGTACTTAAATTACAATTTGTATATAAAGCATATAATCAAAGATGAATTTATGTCGAATTAGACATTTAAAAACAAAATATTAGATAATTTTAAGTTAAGCAAGACATTCTACTTATGTTTAATACCTCTAAAAATTGAATCTTTGCAATATACAATAATTTATAAAAAAAAGGTAACATAATTGCATATACACTTATGCAAGATATTTGCAAATTTTTGAGCAGTAACCGTGATAATTTTTTAAATGCTATTAAGTACCACAGAAGACCATAATAAAACTTTATGTACTGCTGTAGTTTCTTTACTTTCATTATTGTTTCTATTGACAAATTTATGTGTGCGTTAATAGAATATAAATGCAATAAAAATTTTATTGATATTAATTGAATTGTAAGCAGAATTATATTTATGATATAAGTAGCATAATGTGAAAATAAGATATATGGAGATTGATTCTGTGCAACAACACATACTACAGATTAATATTAGACTGATAAATATGTATAGCATATTTTTTGGAATGAAGTCTTCATATGTTATAAGTGGATAAACGATATAAAAACTGAAATAACAGGGCTACTAAATTCTTTCTACAATGTAAACCGTTCCAAGTAACTAAACCAATTTCGAACTTAGATTTAAGATATTTTATAAAAATGCGGAACAAAATATTTTTTGTTATATATAACCGTCCACTTATATTATTTTATAAATAATTAATGTTATTGTTAATTAGTATTGTTAAAAGAATGATTATTATAATTAGTTGCCTGATATCTGTTAAGTGCAAAAAGCAGATGTTAAATGTTCTTTTCTTTTTTAACTTAAAACATGTTTTGAGACGAATTATATATAATAAAACCAACAGTTATAACACACGTCTTTTATTACTGTCAAACTTTTAAACTGGAAAGAAAAAGTTAACATTGTTACTTAGTAATTCATTATTCGATAAATATTAAGTTTTTTTTAAGAGAACCAGTTATTTATTATAACAAATTTTCTTAATCAATATATACAGTTATAATTGACTTATTGCAGTTAAAATATTAATGTTTTACAAAATAAATTAGTTACGAAGGTAACTATGTATTGATTTTCGCAAAATCATTTTTTCATTTAGTTATTAAATGGATTGAAATATACAATTTGAAGCAAAATGCAATGTACTTACTTCTAAAAGGATAATTGTTCACAACTATAAAATAGAAAATATCGCGCAGTCTCATTTAAATATATTACGTCGATTAATTTTATGTACATTTCTGTCGCTAAGACGACGCTATCCGTAAACTACGTGTAAGTACTAAAACCATAAAAGTACTCTATTTTTGAAAGTGGAAGTGAAAGTAGGAAAAAATGTCATTATATGCAACACCAATACTTTATTTAAACATGGGTGGTGAAATGTTATATGTTTTGCGACAAAGATTGAAGGCACAAAGGATAAGTGTTGATAAAATTATACAAGGCTAGTTTAATACTATACAAAAGAGTATACATTGTATGCTGCTAATTTATATTAAATAATTGTGTATTTTTTTATATATTTTGATTAATTTTAAAATGTCTTTTTCTATTTATATACAGTGTTAGACGAGGTAACTGCTGCTTTACTTAATCCTAAAATGCTGTCTTCTGTATTTGAGGAAAAATCTTTGACTAAGATATCTCTTTTACGACCTACTTTAGAATGTGTTGTATTATCATCAATAATGAAACTTGATAAAAGTAGTATGAATAAACTGTTCGATCTAATGATCATGATGGTTAAATATCAGTTAACTGCAGCTACTGGTCCTGTAGAAATTGTATTGTTAACATTAAACCATACAGATGCAATGCGTGACATGGTTAGCAATCCAAATGCTCAACAATGTATTGGATTAGTACACCAAATGGTAATCGATGTAAGCATTTTACTCATTGATTAAATTATTGATATGATTATCATTATCATTATTATTGATTATGTTGAATTTCTAAAAACGATTTACTGATAATTCTAGTTTTATGGTACATTAACTTTTGAAGAAGTTTGGAATGCCAGAAATGATTGTTTGAAAGAATTAGAGTATTATTCCGTGAAAGTATCTATACTTCTTAGACTTGGATTACAAAATGATGATGGTAGCTTTAATTCAATCTACCATAAATACAATGAAAAATATAAAGAAAATAAAACTCGCCTTTCTGGTACAAGACTATCTGATATAGATTTGAAAACTTACTGTGATGGTTCTTTTAATCTTTTTGGTGAACGAGGTACAATACTGGGCAAAAATATGTAAGTGTCAAATATGAAATTACCAAATTTTTCAAAGATAGAAACATATAAGAAGCATATTATACAGGTATTCGATGTTGTATGGCATATCGAAACTAACTTCTGAACAAGAAAATCATAATTACGTTAAAGAATGTGGTACAAAAGCAGAACTTGGTATGTTAGCTGTTCAACTGGGAACTGAAGAAACTTTGTACAAACGACCTTTTACTTTGAATTTATTTTCAACTGAAGATAATGATAATACAAATATAGAATGCGAGTCCGATTCTAAGGAGGACAGTCAGAATGACGTTACAATTACAAAATATGAAAAAACGAAATTTAATGAAGATTATAAAACGAAACTTGATATTATACGTACAGATCTTTTTAAAGATGATCATGAAGACATAAAATACAGCATGAATTTGTTAGAACTTTTAGACAAAACAGAATAATATTATTTAAACTTATTTTTTCGATTACGCCATGATAATTAATAAAATAAATAAAAATTTTCTTTAATTTGTTATTTACATTCATATATATAAATATTTCGTCTTGCACAAATTAATTAATACATCTTTTTACATAGAACAGCAATATTCCAGTTTGTGTAATATATAAAAAATCGTATTTTTATAAACATTTTATATTATGAATTATAATTAACATTACTCTGCATTAAAATTTTATTTAAAAGTGCACTACAAAATATGTATCACATAAACATTAATGTCTCTTGCACAATAATAAATATAATTATTTTTAGTTCATATAAAAGGTACTAAAGATAGAAGAAATGCAATGTTCTCAAAACTAAGTTATAATCTAAAAGAGAGTTTACTTTATAGCTTAGTCATATCCAAAATATATTTCACTCCAGTTCGACCATCAGTATGGAGTGCATTAATAACAGCTTCTTGATACTGACAAAATGGAACTAACTTATGTGGTGGAGCTTTTAATCTCTTATCCTTGAATAATGCTCCTAATTCGCTAAACATCTTTTCACGCTCTTTGGAATTCATATTTACCTTTGTCCATGCTGTCATCCAAAATCCTTTTAATGTTATATCCTATTTAATTTTTAAGATCATTAACAAACATTACTTACTTAATTATACTGTACATTACTTTACAAATTTTAATCAATATACTTTAAAAATAAGTGCAGACGTTGGAACTGTTAAAGGTTCTCTGGACATACCACCATAAGTTACCATAATACCTCCATGTGCTAAATGTCTTAGAACTTCTAATGCATTTTGCCCGCATATACAATTAAGAGCTAATTTTGGTGAAGGTAACTTTTTAGTTTTAAAAATCTGAGTCTTCCTTATTTCATCTTCAGTAAGAATTTCATCTGCACCCAAGCTCGTCAAGTAATTCTACACAGTTTTTATTAATCAATGGAAATAAAAATTTAATTTTTTAACTGTTTTTATACCTTTAATTCTTCTATATTAGGTCTGTCCCTTATAACACTAACAGATTTGTAATTCCATATTTTACATAGTTGAATAATCATCTGTCCAACAGCTGAATTCCCACCATTTTGAATTACAGTATCACCAGGTTTTAATTTCACAAAATCTTTAAGCATTCTGTACGCAGTACATGGATTTACATTTAACATACTAGCTTCCACAACGCCAACTTCTTTTGGAACCTAAGATTTTAAAATATATCAATTTTGAGCTATTGTGATAAATATTAGGTTGTCCCAAAATTCTTTTTTGTTTTATAAGAAAATAATAGATGCACAACATTTTTTGTTTTATATTATTTTATTAAATTATATATGATGAATATAAAACAAAAAATGTTGTGCATCTATTATTTCTTTATAAAACAAAAAAGAATTTTGGGACAACCTAATATATACAAACCTTATTACCTGAAAGCAGATTATATACCTTCAGAAGTTCTTCCACAGTATAATTTGCATGCGTTCTCCATGTTCCTAAATGCGTGCCATTTGGTATAACTCTATCTCCAATATTTAAATATTTTACATTAGATCCAATAGCTATTATTTCACCAACTCCTTCATTCCCTGGAATAGCTGGTAAAGGCGGTTTACTTGGATATTTACCCTGTATTGTATTTATGTCTGCTGGATTAACAGGAGCTAACAACCATTTGACAGAAACCTTTATTAACAATAAATAACTTTTTATTAAAATGCATTAAAAAAAAAGTTAAAAATCATTTTAACTGAATTACCTGATTATTTTCTGGTTGATTAATAGATTGTGTTGTAACGTGTAAAACATCTACAGGTTCTCCATATTCTTTATAAAATAAAGATTTTACAGAATCTGTTTTAACACTAGCAGTCATTTTACGAAACGACATAAAATTTGTAACAATTGATCGTGATAACGGTGAAACTAAGCTTCTCATGTATATGACCATTTTAGTGTTCTATATGATACCTAATGATATTTATTCAAATGTTTTTTTTGAATTATTCTTTTAAATAATGTCAATAACAATTGATAGATGATGCAGTGGATTATTATAATCAGCTATAAACATATGTCTATCTAGATACATTAATATAGGATTTTAATTTACATATATAATATATTATTATAAGCGTTACATGTGTTAAAACAAATTTATTCAGTTTAATTATTAATTGAATGATTAATTATCGTTTATATTTATCAATTTATTAACAAAATTTCTGGGTATTGTTGTTTTGTTATTGTTATATATTTATATATATTTTAAAAATAATATTTGGATTATTTAGATACAAAGAGCTTATATAGTTTGAATAATTTTCAGCACTTATTTGACATATTTTTGTTAAATGTTCCTGTTTTGTGATTATAAAGTTATATTAAAATATTAGTGATTGTAGCAGAGGGTAAATTGTATCAGGGAGTTGTGCCTGGTTGTACTATCAGTAATACCAAGCGTGAATTAAGAAATTTCATGAGTAGATAGGGAATTTTTACAATATTAAGAAAGAAAAACAAAAAGGAGAAAAAGAATAAAAACACGATAATTTTTTAATCTTAAAAGGTGGTTTCAATAGATAAGAAAACAGTTGTAATTAGTACATTTTGACATGAGCTTAATAATCTCGAATTGTTACAATTTGTACAGTTACGATTTGTCATTTCAATAGATGACATCATAAGATTCTGGCTTTATTGCATGTAACAATAGTTTTATACATTGTTATGTACATAAAAGAACTAAGTGGATTAATATAATTTCAAGGTAAATCGTTAAATAAAATTTACTTAGACTGTTCTCATTATATCACAATAGTTTTCTACATAGTCAAGTTTACTGTTGAAAGTTTTAATGAAATAAATGAATGACGAGTCTATATATTTTTTTATTATTAATCAATTCCTAAAGTGAATGTAATAATTAAAGTATTATGAAGATTATTATATATGTTTTTTTGCAAATTATTGATTTAGGAAATTAGAAAAATGATGGCTTCAGAAGTAGGTTCTACAAACAATGAACCTGTACATGTCAAGATCAGTAGTGAAAAAGCTCCTCTAATCCATGGAAGAGGTGTTCTATATAGATTAAGCAATTTCTTTAAATATGGACGAGTACAACAGGCAGAAGGAGATGGATACGTAGAATTTGGTAGTTTGAATGCGGATAGTAGCCGGACTTTGGGAACATTTGCTGGTGTATTCAGTCCTGTTACATTATCGATGTTCAGTGCCTTAATTTTTATACGCATGGGTACGAATTTTACAGAAGTAATTCAAGATATTGTGTTGAGTCTGTATAATTTCAATGATGAAACTAAATATACATCATCATGCAAATAAACTTTACATTGTAGGATATATCGTAGGCAATGCTGGATTACTTGTCACTTTGATACAATTCATAATTGCATATGGAATTTTGTTATTTACTGTAGCATCTGTATGCGCAATTTCAACAAATGGAGCAGTTGAAGGAGGTGGTGCTTATTGTATCCTTATTTAAATTTTGTTATTTTCAACAATTAATAATCTGTTACACATAAAATCCATCTGTTATTTAAAGATAAGATATCAGTTACTACCTTATGTTTTTAATATATAAATTATTGATATATTAGAATTATTATATATCAAAATATATTCATATATCAAAAAATTATAATATATAAAATTTTTATCATACATATATTTTCTTTTGGAAGCAAATTTGCAATGAAAATTATAAGATATTCTGGAATTTTAAATATATTTTATACAAGTTTTTCCTACTAATTATTGTACAGTTATGATTAGTCGTACACTTGGACCAGAATTTGGTGGTTCTATTGGTACATTATTTTTTATGGCTAATATTGTTTCGAGTGCTCTTTGCATTTCTGGATGTGCGGAAGGTTTGATAGAAAGTTTTGGGCCATCTGGTTATTTAGTTGGTAAAAGTGCACTGATACCAGATGGTGGATGGTGGAGATTTTTATATTGTTCTATATTAAATACTGCCAATTTAGTAGTATGTCTAATAGGAGCTGCAATGTTTGCAAAAACTAGTGTTGCAATTTTGGCTGTTGTATGTGTCTGTCTAATAAGTGTTTTTATCAGTTTTTTGGCCAAGGGATATATGGAGGTAATGTTGTGGAGAGCACAAAAATGATCAGAAACGTGATTTGTCTTTTATTACAGATACCAATTCCAAATGCAAATATGCTGGTTCAAAATGTAACAGAACATGTTAATGGCACTTATACAGGATTGCTGTCATCTACTCTTATAAGGAATCTTTACTCAAATTATAGTGCAGATTATTCAAGTAAAGGAACAATGACTGATTTTGCAAGTGTTTTTGGTGTATTATTCAGTGGCGTTACTGGTATAATGGCTGGTGCTAATATGAGTGGTACTTAAAAAGATTATTAATCAAAATAGTTTTTATTTTTATTCATGTTTCAAGTTTTAATATATAATAATTATTTATATATAGGTGAATTGAAAAATCCAGGGAGAAACATTCCACGTGGAACTTTGTCAGCAGTATTATTTACATTTATATGTTATATTCTTCTATCTATTCTTACAGCTGCAAGTACAAGTCAATTTTTATTGCAAAATGATTTTATGTATATGATGCCAATTAATATTTGGCCACCATTCGTGGCAGTTGGTATATTAACAGCAACATTTAGCGCTGGTTTAAGTAATTTGATAGGGTCAAGTAGAGTTTTGGAAGCTCTAGCAAAAGATAATGTATTTGGTGAGTGATCAAAATATAAAGTTTTTATAAATTTCTTTATTTATTTATTTTGTCTACATTTTGTGCGTTTCATATTTATAGGTTCTGGTTTAAATTTTATAATACAAGGAACATGGAAAGGAAATCCAATTGCTGCAGTTTTAACTTCATGGACTTTAGTTCAAATAATTTTACTAATAGGTTCTTTGAATATCATTGCTCAGCTTAATTCAGTGTTGTTCTTGTTAAGCTATTTGGCTACTAATTTAGCCTGTCTTGGTCTTGAACTTGCAAGTGCACCAAATTTTAGGTATCTTTTATTTTGAATTTACCTAATTTTGAATACTTTTAGGTATACAAAGTAATTATAATGCTTGTATATCTTTTACAGACCAACGTTTAATTATTTTACATGGCATACGGCTACAATTGGTCTTCTCGGTACATTAATAATGATGTTTGTTATAAATAGTATTTATGCTTCCAGCAGTATAATACTTTGCCTAATTTTAATCATTGTGTTGCATTTATTTTCGCCAAGTAAAAATGCTCCTTGGGGAAGCATATCTCAAGCACTGATATTTCATCAAGTTCGAAAGTACTTATTAATGTTAGATTCACGTAAAGATCATGTAAAATTTTGGCGACCACAAATACTGCTAATGGTAGCATCTCCACGATCAGCATGTCCACTTATAGATTTTGTAAATGACTTGAAAAAAGGAGGACTGTACGTAATAGGACACATAAAAGTTGGAGAATTTTTGGGCCAGAATATCGATCCCACTATAGAAGAGTATCCACATTGGTTAAGTTTAGTTGATCATATGAAAGTAAAGGCATTTGTCGAACTAACAGTTACGAAAACTGTACGCGAGGGACTACATCACTTAATTAGGATATCGGGAATGGGAGCTATGAAACCAAATACAATTGTTCTTGGTTTTTATGACGAAGAAGCATCGATAGATTTCTTCAAGAATTCACAGTATGCGACTGATATATTTGAGAACGTTTCAACCTTACCAAACAGTACTGCGTTTCCTTTAAGACATACAAATGCAGAAAAAAATCTGGATCCAATACAATATGTAGGAATGTGTTCAGATGTGTTAAAGATGAAAAAAAATTTGTGTTTATGTCGAAATTTTCATACATTAAACAAATTACAAATAACTAAGTAAGCACATGATTAATTTTTCATTAATATATGATTAATTTATATCGTTATATAATTTTTTAATATTGTGTTTTAGGAATTCTTCTTTAAAATATATAGATGTATGGCCTGTGAATTTTTTCCAACCAACAGATCAAGATCCATTTGATACAACATCATTATTTATGTTGCAACTTGCATGTATTATTAATATGGTACCAATATGGAAAAATCTACATCTCAGGGTATTTCATTGTGAAGTTTCAGATAATAATGCAAGTTTGAGCGTCTCAGATTCACATAATTCGATTAGCGAATTTCCTCGAGTTTCTAACGAACTTCGTATAAGAAAATTATTAAATATGTTGAGAATATCGGCATCTATTAAACAAATTCCTAATTGGGGTACGCAAATAAGTGGGTTAAAGGGCCATTCTCTCATTGATTCGGCAGTGGAAAGTCAATATGAATCGAGTACTGAAAGTAACGATATCTTAAGTAATGTTTCACGTGCTTATATTTTGAGGTATCTTGTCCAAATACATATTTTATTTAATGTCTGATACTTAACGATTTTGTAAATAACTGTTTTTTTATTATATTCATTTTATTTTACAGTGTGAATCAATTAATTAGACAACATTCTTCACAAACTGCTACAATATTTATATATTTACCTGCACCTCCAATATCAAATACATGGGATGAAAATACTTTATATCGTCAGTATCTCCAACTGTTAACAGAATTAACAGCAGATTTACCACCCATAGTATTAGTACACGGTGTGAGTGCTGTTACATCGACAACACTATAATAATATGTAAATATAGGAATAGAAATTCTTATTGTGTAATTTCTATACAGAAAAGTATTATTTAACGAATAATTTATATGACCTTAAGTTATAATTTTTATATATGCTATGTTTTTGGAAAAATTACGAGATTTAAAAAAATTCTCAAATACCAAAAATGTTTCTTTTTACAAACTAACGATTGTGAGTATTTCAGCAATAATAATGCGTTCTTATTACAATAAGAAAATCTCGTAACGAATATAGATTATTGCTGTGATAACGAATTTATTCTATAAGAGAATCTTCAAATATAAATATTTTTTAAATATTGTAATACGTCTTTACTAATAAATCCGTATGCTGATATCTTATCATATTCATATATGGAACTACATATTTCTATACAAATTTTTTGTACTGCACCTGATATTAAAATAAATGCAATAAAATAACATTAGTAAGATCAGACGTAAAATAAACTAAGTATCACTTCTATGTACACTTTATGAATTAATTAAAATTTTATACATGCTCATTAATGATACTCAATTAAATGATCGATTCGATAACTATTTTTTGTTGTATGAAATTTTTAAAAGTTGAGATGACATTCATCATAATCTAATATAGTAGTAGCGAAATTACAAAAATCACTACTTAATCTTTAAATTTTTAACTGAATTATTTTGTAATTCTAGTACAATTGTCTTTATTGCAATGTGTTTATTCATAACTAGGCTATATGTGCAACTAACTAATTTGAGCAATTGTTCAAGACAATGACTAGAGTTAATAGTGGTAGTAGTGTATCTGAAGTATGTGTTAAGTTAGAAATGTATATATTATTTGAACTTAATTATATTGATTATTACATTATTGTCTTAAATTTTAAATCATTACGAGTGAACCGAGTTTTAAGAGATTACCAAGAGATCATTGCACACTTGAGCTCTTTCCAAATACCTCGATGGAATCATATTAGGCATAAGTGAAAACCATCCTCAGTTATTAGAGGTGAAAGAAGTTAAATAGATAATTATTAAATTTATTATTTATTAGTTAGGATATATGTACAAGGTTCAAAAAGGTAAGCGTAAAGAGGATAATGGCTTTAATAAAGTTTTAATAATTCTTAAATTGGTTTTATTCACAATATGTGTACATTCTGCAGTCATATGGGAGAAATGTAGCATTTATTGATATAAGTTGATATCCTAAATCTATCATTATATATTGCATAACTTCTTTTCTTTGTTCCTTCGTTTTCTTTACATGTGTTTCTTTCTCTTTCCTTTTTCTCACTATTTAAAAAAGTACCTGACAATGAACGTGAATGTTATGGATCCTATATAAAAGCTTTAGTGACCGTAGGTTGAGTATGACTAGTTTGGAGAATAAATTCTTTTAAAACTGCTCGTTTTAAGAATGGAAGAATGATTTTTCGTACGAAAATCCCTCTGAATACACTTTTTTCTAAATTTATAGTATTTGTATGTATTTTTCAATAATCTCATGTTTATATCGATTTATTTGTATATTTGGAGCGTTATAGTTAAATGACGATAACATTAGTAAATACAAATAGAACTAATTAAGGGTTGTTGCAAAATGCTAATCATTATTGTTGATGTTCACGTATTGATCATATAGTAATCAATTGTTGCTATTTATTAAACAAGTCAAACTCGTTAACCATTTGCATAACGCATTGTCAATGCATTTACGTAATTTATCTATATAACAACGTACTTTACATATAAATGTTGTTATAGTTTCCACTAATTGATAACGATTTTTTAATATCATTAACACCATATATTACCTGGCTTTGAAGCAGCTTAAACAGATTAGATTTTGATACATTTTTTTATTGAAGAAAGCAAGTTCGTAAAATAAATATTTATTCAAATAGTTTTTTAGATACTTGTTTCTGAGAAAAAGTATGCAAATTTCGAGGCTAAGAAACTAAAATACAGTATCCGTTTATCAGGAATTATAAAAAGATTTGTTTATTTTCCTGGAACTGAATGATTCTTATTTGGGAACAGTAGAAGATCATGTAATAGATCACTTGAATTTTTGGTATATTTCCTTCCAAAAATGTCGGTAATCAAAGTTAACGAGCATCAGTTTTAAATTTGAATTCTCTATTTGTTACTATATTTCCATTTCAAAAGACCTATGTATAAATCTTTATATAGGTACATTTCGACACATTAAATATAAGCAGCAATCGATAATACGTAAATGAGTTTAATTCAAGATATATTGTTGATTTGCAAGTTTAATCGGACAAATATTCCATTTCTGTTGTACATTAGTTTTTCATAGAATCTCGATATCTCAAAATGATCTTGCCCTTTTTATTTGTTCCGTGTATTGTTAATAGATATAATAAATCGTGTAACACATGTTAACACAATGATACTTTCAACGTCGACGTTCACACCAATTCTTTTCGGTTGGTAAACATAAATGAAAATAAGAGCGTTCAGTAATTGCAATAAACGCGATTTTCTCCGTTAGATCGTACAAATGGAATAGGAAGGCGGCGTAACATTATTTTTTGATAAATGGAAGGAAGCGAAATGCCTTGTTATGCAAATGCAAAGGAAAAATAGCAGGTGATTTGGATGTTTGACTGATATAAAAGAAGATCTCGCGACTTGGGAAAAATTGGGAAACGCTATGATGGAGAATGATGAATCATTCTGCATATATATCACGCGCAACAAACCGCCGAGTCCAGTCTCAGTTTTAATCATTGTTTAGTTCAAATTAACTCAGTCAATTAAACGCGTTGTCTGGTAGCGACAGCTCGCAGCCATCCGCTGCTCTGAACAATATAGCTTACGTATGGTAATTCGAAATAGCATCCCCGTGAGCACCATATGTCAGCGACATGGAATTAATTATCACCATGGATTCCCTACTGTACTTTACCCCTCGTTTCGTTCGTCCCTTCGATTCGCACAACGATGTTAGTCTGTACTATATTTGTCACGTTTTGTTTAATGCTGACTAATATCGACTCAGTATCAGAGCCGTCGGTATTACGGTATCCTTCGAAATATTTGGTACCTCGTAGGTAGCTGTAAATACGGTTTTATTATAATGCAAACTGATGCAGTGGCATGTTCTGTAGATGTTCCATATACCAACAATATAGTCTTGTGCATTCATAAATGAATAATGATGGTTAGTATTTGTCAAGCAAATTGTGATTATAATTGCCATGTAGAGATTATATTTGGTGAATTGAAATTGTAATATCTTAAATATTTCTACTCGAAGATTTAATTTACATCGAATTCAATTTCTGCTAGAGACGTGGAAGATTTTCTATGTTGTATCAATAGATATATGTATAATTATCAATTAATCGTTGTCTAAACTTGTTGCCAAATGTTAGAATTTAGTGGTTGATTAATCACTTTTGATTGAAAGGTATCCAAAAAACATTGTCATTAAGTGTATCCCAAATCAATCAACAAGATACATGATTGGCAGTGCCTTCAAAATACCATCATTCGATACTCTTTCGCTCGATTAAATCGAAACGCAAGAGAGCGAATTGTTTTACAAAGAATATACAATGTAAATATTAACAAATATCGAAAAGCATCTATCGACGCTAAATTTCACGATATAAAATATAATGTAATGTATCATGCACATTGATAATAATTCCACACATGACAGAGAATTCTATCATAGTGTGAATTATAAATCTTATAACGAAGCAGCGTTTCATCGTAACTATTACGAGAAGCCATTTTTAGTATTAGTTACATTAGTTAGTAGTTGGAATTACACGTGTATGTCGTGAATGTTTTAAGTACCAGTAACAGTATAGTATACCGTTCGTCGTTCTCCCCGTGTTATTTTCGACGATCGGTTTTAACGTTACAATTTCTCTCTACACGACAAACATTCATTGCAAACATAAATTTATCTCTTTTCCCTTTCGTCCAACTTTTCATATGTTTATATCAGTATTTCCTTATTTACGTACAATTTAATTAAAAGCAATGTATAATTTGATATTCCATGATATTTCCCTAGATAATTTGATATTTCATATTTATTATTTTGTATTTCTATATACTATTTATCATATTTTTCCTTCGTCTGCCAAATAATAAAAGATCCGTAAATAGTGACTGTAATACTGAATCTACAACAGTGAATGTAATACTTGTAATACTGTTACTATCACTATTAGCTACTAGCAGTTTAGTTTAGCCTTTGACCAAGAAGTGGAAGCTTATTTACAAAATTTGCATGATACTGCAAAAGGTTCGATGATCTTTTACTTACCTAATTTTTCATAAATATCTTAATACTTATGGAGGGAAATATATGTACATATTCGAATTAGAATATGATTCTGTATCATCGAAATTCACTAGGAGAAGTTGAAACAGGAAGTTAAAAATTTATTCAGAAGCAAAGATTCATATTTGGAAACTCTAGATTGCATGTACATTTCGAATATGGTAAAATTAATCAAATGGATAAATGCGAGATAAATTATGTATAATATTACGCGGAAAGAAAAAATACCGATGATTATGCAACACCTCATATTAATTGGTATAATTGACTAATAAAATTAAAAGAGGGGAGTAAATACACACGTACTTATTGATATCATTTATCTTCAGATAAAATTTATTATACAAGAATCTAATGAAACATAAATAACAGATGTATATTTTAATAGAATCGAAAATTGATGATATTCTTTGATAAATTATGTTGATTCGTACGACAAATATGTTTCTTGATATTTCATTGTAATGTACAATATGTATATCCAAATCAACGATGCACATATCGAAACGAATATTTTTTCACACAGACACAGCATCACTATGTAGCTGGTGGCAGAACTTAAATTACAGTAATAATTCATTGTTATTGCAATCCTGAAAACATACTGTAGACCGTAGTCATGCTATCATGCACTATATTCACAAAGATCACTTGTATTTGCTTTTGCACCACCCCATTTATTGTTTGGGCATCCCCTAAATTTGTTCACGAGGGTCGATTTATTGGCATAGAGTACAATATAAGGGTTCGTAATATTAATGGAAAAAGTTTTCGGTGCAATATGGTAACAAAAACGACACTTTCGTAATTCCGTTTCCATGCCATCCTTTAATGGACCTAAAATGAAGTTCTATACATCAGAAACAGGCGTTTCCAACTCTCCTACGTAATTATAATAAATTTCTGCGAGGAGACTCGTTAGCGAAGTTTCTGTGCGCTATATATTGTTTTATGCTTACCGAGTAATAATTACATATTGTATATTTTTGCCCATTAATTTGTAAAGAACTTTTTCTTGATACATATTATGCTATGCGAAAATTCATCTATTTAAAATATGCTCACTTCGGACACAAATTTTTATTACCTACAATGCTAATAAACATTATACGTATGTCATAGGATGTTATAAAAGGCGATGCATTTAATTCCCAAAAAACTGTCCCACTTAGTTTAGATTTATTTCCCCATAAACCTTTAATTTCAACCCAAGCATCTATATCCTCTCTATAACATTTATTTATAAAAAAAGCGCGTTGCACGGTCGTTTCAACAGCGATATTTTTTATCGCAACATAAATATGTGTACCGCTTCACGGATACTTATTTTACTTCAATTTAAATATATACTTCCTCCCTCTTGAGCTCATTCATGTGTGTCCCACAACACATTCTGAAATGCATACGCTCGTCTAAATCTGTAAGGTTTGCAAATTATTATAAATATGTATACATGATAATTCTATCAACTTAGCTAAGCTACCTCTTTTAAACGAGATTAGGAGATTAGGAAAAATCACCGTCATTCGTGAATAGTCATTGAAAAATCAATATTTTACAAGATACATATTTCATTTCTTATGTGAAAACTCATATGTTCAAATGTTTGATTAACTTTTAAACATTTCTTGATATTTTCCATTAATTTTCCATTTCCCATTAATTGATTAATATTCCACAATGCTTTAACCAGGTTATATGAAATTCAGGAGTAAGTTGAAAAAAAAATGAGCAAATGATTCTTGAAATTAGGGATAGTTTGCTAGCGTAGCCGGGGCATTTCAACGAGTCTGTCTGTAAATTTTACACGCGAAATTAAATGACTTTTTTTTATTTAGTAATTCAGAAAATCGCGAAGTAGCGCCTATATGGCTGTGGTAAAGTGAGTTTCCGAGTTAAGAGGAAAGGTCGGTTGGTTGGCTGGCGTTTATAATGAACTCTTGAGGATCGGCTTGACTACTATTTAAGGATATGTATGCGCATAGAGGTGTAGATACAAACGTGGGTTTCCGCTTTTACGAGAATGTACGTCATACGTTTGTAGATGTATAAAAGTGTGCGTTGAATAATAATATTCAGTGTAGGTACATATTTATGTATTTGTGCGTGCGTGTAGAAAGATAAAAATATGGTATTAAAGTTAATTATTTTAACGTTAGCGAGTTTCAGTTTCATTCCAGTCGTTGGTTTTAATTTTGTTAAAATTTTATTTTAAACAAAAGAGGAATATTTTATGTGATGTAGAGAAGCGAATTATATACATTTTTCGGTTTTTGATTTACTTTTAATGAAATGGTGATGGTTTTTATAATCATGAAGGTTCTTTATATATAGAATATATCTAAAGAGATATTAAATTCTCGCATAATGAATCAGACAAAGCATTCAGCAATTTCTTAAGAGCCAATTGTAGGACGCAGTTTTCCGCCCAATTAACTTTATTCGCAATTTATGAGGTTCTTGATCTTCACTAGAAAGTTCTGCTTCTGTGTATTAGTACATACCAATTTTCTCCTGAATCATTAATAACTTCCACGTTTTTGTTATAACTGCATCAAAAGCAAGTTAAATAGTTTTGATTAAGGTCATAAATTCGACTAAACTTCTTCATTCAGTATCTTATTTGAATCCTTCATCTTTCCATAAACGTTTCGGAGCAGACACGGTGTAGAACTTGCAGTAAAATCATGCGTATATAATAATTTAATTTTGAAAAAAATAATAGGAAATATTTGTGAGACTTATTTGTTAAAAGATACTTACACCTGACTTATTACAATTAAGAACTAATTCTTACTTACATATTCATTAAACCATAATATTACATATTTTTATTATTATACGTATAACGAACTTCAGACAATTTTAAGTTTCAGTGTTTTTAATGGTAAGTTTCCAAAATCCGGAATGGACACCAACCTAACCCCAATTTACCTGATCAAGACTTCGGCTCAGAACGATATACTTTGAATCGTTTACATAGTTCGTCGTTGCTTCGAAACATTTGCGTACCACCGAATTATTCCATGACCAATTACCAATTATTTTTCACAAATATTCGATTGAATGGTTTAAATGGCTAACGTTAATCGATTTCAGTTCCTCTTTCGAAACAGAACTGGTATTTTTCCAAACTTAGAATTTCGATATGTAGTAGAAATTCGTGATAAATCCTACCAAACCAACCCTACCAAATACCGAAATATATTCATTGTTAAAAATGTTACAAATTTTTCGGGGGATCTAATAACTCTTTTTTAATATGATTCTAAATATCTCCTAAAATATTTAATATATTTAATAATAATTTAAATAAATGAATTTAATAACTTACTGTCTAATTTAAATGTTAATAATACAGAAATACATGTAGAATTGTTTAACGGAAGCCGTTGCATAAATATTTTTATCGTATCTCAACATTCCAAGGACGTATCTTCACTTAGGAAATGGAAATACCTACTGGAAATATTCATGGTCTCGTACTCGTCCCATTTTGCTGTGCAAAGTGCCATTCTTTCGTTTCATGTGTGGCTCCCTTTTCAGCGTGGCACGCCGCTTTATCTTTCAATGATACGCCTTGAAACTCTTTTGTCTTGAGTGAACGAATGTGCTCAGTAGCTCATAGAGGGAACTAAAAACTTAGTTGCTGTATCGCAGCGTGTTTCGGTAAAGGAAAAAGAAAGGGGCGAGATTAAAGCAATTTTGTTGGTCATTTTGCATGCCGGCTTCACAAAGTTTCGCGGTTGTCGATACCGACATTGTTGCCGTATATCTCTGCCACGATTCAAAGCGTCATCCATGTCGTAAAATTTCCCCATCAAATTTTGCCGTTCACTCCGTTTTATATTCCACCTTTCTATTTGTCTCGCGTCTACGATTTTACTGAAAAAATAAAATCGTTTTCCTGTTGTGTTATACCATAGGTTCATTAAAAAACGTAAAAATCTTGTACGTTATTGTATTTCTTAGAGACGTTTCGTGTATTTGCATTATAAAAATAGTATATAGGATATGTAACGAGTATGGTTTGGTTTAGCTGTATCTTTTCACGTATATAAAAATTATGTTTGTTCAAAGGTACGAATTCAAACTCAACTGGAATTTAAATAATTTAACCGGTTGAAAGTGTATCAGAATGGGAATTTCTAATAAAATGTACCGTGCGACACGATCTTTCCAGAAAGACAGATGTGGTAATCGTGACATCGACTTATTCGCTTTAATTACACTGTGACCAAAAGTTGGCGTCGACGTGACGGGTAGAAAGTGAGGGGTCAACTTAGGTTTCAGAACCGAGCAGAACTTCCGGTCGAACTGGGAACTTTACGTTTCAGGAAGCGCCACTGAATCGTGGGCTGGTTGAAATTATCGATTCGGTATAATTGCAACTCTCGATAATTGGCTGTGTCAGCAGAATCACAGTGCACGGTAAACTAGTTACACGAGGCAGAAGTAATAACTTCATTAACGCATCAACGCGTTGCACTTACATGCTTCGTGCGGTCGCGAATCTGTTTTAAAATGTTTCACTTAAAATTGTTAGATTATAGCTATCGTTCTACTATGACGTAACAGCATTATTATTTTATGAAATTATAACTTCTGTTGAATCTTTTGTGTACTATATTCAGTTAGTATGTAATCATTGGTAATCGTTTTCTATGTAAAGAGTAAGATTTTTGCAAAGTACTACATACGATACGGTGTGATTTATATACCTATGCATTTGTTTATTCGTGTAAATGGGAAAGATTTTCTTCTACGAGCAAGAATTCTAGATCAAGATATACAACGGTAAACAGAAACTGAAAATTATTCAAATAGGAGCAGAGTATATAAGAAGGGAAAGCAGGGAATTTTATTACAGTTTCTTAAGTTGGAAAGTGCGAACAGCTCCGCTCCTTTGGGAGCCGTATTTACGAAGTTTAAAATAAGATGAATAATACAAAGGTACGGTACAATGGTAGCTGCACATATCTTTTCGTTTTGTATTCCTAAACTGACTTTTGAAACACGATAAACCTCTTTTGGCAGGTGGTTGTTAAGAGGAGAGCGCGCGAGTTGCGCGTATTCCATCTGCATCGCGGTATTCGAATCTTACCCGCACTTTCACCCAATTCACAGTAATCCATGGAAACCGAATAATGCCAGCGACTGGTAGCTCGGTTTCAAAACATACAGAAATATAGCGAACGTAGGTGCATACATATTTTCGCGTTACATACGATGTACAGCGGTGCGGTTGGAAAAGCAATGGCACGGAAGCCAAACAAAAATGCCTCGGGTTTTACCTAGCGTTACGTTGCTTCTGTTCATTATATTTGCTTTAATATGATTCTTCGAAAAATCAATATATCGGTTACAAAGTTTACGTTCGAAATAATAGAATCAAAATATCTAAAATGTCGTATCGCTTGACGGTATTACATTAATTCTGGAATTTTTATTTTGAGAGAAAGAAGGGTCGGTTGAAAAGGAGATTATACGTGGAATGGCTAAATATGGAAATTCTCTCTTTTAGCTGAAAAATTCTCTTTTTATTTGAACAATTTGATACTTAAGTTATCTGACGGCATGTCACAGTACGTTTTTAATGTATATCTATCTGGTGCATAAATAATTTCAAAAATAAAAATAAAAAATCGATGGAAACATATTACGAATTGAATAGAAGTGAAATGATTTAAAACGTATTTATCATATAGGTATAATGAATACAATAATCATTACGCGCTCCGCGTCTGACCAGTTGCTGACTCCTACTACTTGAAATATAGTCATCGGGAAAACAGCGTGATCAAACATCACTCTTGTCGCACAGGAAAGTTTTCTAGGAAGGCTTACTACGCAATTTACGAGCTCGTAAAAATATTAATAAAACCACCCTTTCCTATCTTTTCGCGTATTTTATCCTTCCGGGCATTCTGTCACCTTTTCGTTCTCTGAAATACGCATCCGGTGTACACGGTTCTTGTACGTTTGATACTCTCATGTACATCCGTTCTTCGGTATAAATCAACCCAACCACCGAGCAGATTGTGAATTTCTAGTCAAAGTATTCACGTAGTAAGTACGTATAGAGTACACGAGGGTGTAGCTTTGAAGTGTGTTAGATCAGGCCGATGCACGCGATGTCGTAACAGAGCTAGCAATGGAATCCAGTATTCGTTGATCTACGAGCAGCCGGAAACGAGAGGATGTACGGTTAGAGCCACCGATAGAAAAAATCGGAAGCGTGCGCAGTCCTGGCGAGATACGGCGATGAAAACGTATGAGTAAAACGTAGAAAAGGTTGGCATCCGCTGCTGTAGCTGCCTGTGTTCGCGGAATTTCTAGAGGGAAGGATGAAATAGTCTTGCTGTTGCTGCAACCAGTAAAAATGTTAACGAAATGGGATGGCGAAGTCGCTTTCAAGACGCGACGTGCAGATAGTTGCGTTTGATCGATCGTATAATACAAACGCGATATAAACACTTTATGAGGTTGATAAGATTACCCAGGAATATGGATTCGAGATATTTTGACATTGTAAAACGGAAAGATAGAAGAATGATAGAAGGAAAGAAGAATAAATCAGGGGAATGCGTCTATGTAGAGAATATAGTGATTCTTTTAGAGTTATATTAAGGTGATTTAGAGTTTAATAAGAAAAATAATTGCAGAGAATATTAACAAAAAATTTGTAAGCCTTAATTTTGATATTAGCGTAAAGATAAATTTATCGATGGATAAAAACGCGTACTTTGATTAATCGATCGGTATTAGATTTACAGTAACGACGGCTATTGTGTATGCAATACGAGTTTCTAAAATATGGATGTTTACAAGAAGGCAATATACATGCACATAAAGGGTGTATTCGCGCCGTGGAAAAATATGACAGAAAGGATATGACATAATATTGGAACTGTAATTATTATCGGTAACGTGGGAAACGTTGCTCCTTCCGACAGTTCTGTGATATAAGAAACTTTAATCTCTTATTAAGGATTCATGCAAATCCGCCTTGAAAGAATAATAACTTTTATAGTTGCAAAATTTGGAGATTATTTTTATTTACCTATATTTATTTTTGCACGTACCGCGCGTACGTTCTAATCTATGTTTCTTTAACCTTTTCTTTCCGCATTCTTCGTCTTTCGTATTCAGATTCTGTTATCAGGTGATGAACAATCTTTGTAAGTTTCGAGTAAGGGTTTCGCTCCTTCATCTGGAATATCTCGTCTTCTTGCATCACCGCTTTGAACCAACGGAGCACTTGAATAATGTTTATACGACACTGATTGCTCATAGAGATACCCATGGTAGATTCGTGGAAATTCAAACTGTCTGATTTATTACTGGTCAAACTTTCTTTCGAAGTTAAAGCTTGCCTTGTGTGCTTATTTGTAGTTGAGATCAGTAAAAAAAAGTATTTCGGAACACCTCTGGTCGGTGGTTCAAAATTTATATAATTATTCTCTCTAGCTTGTTTGCTAGTGTTTGATGCTGGCAAGCGGATATCTTGATATTAAAAAAATTTTCATGTAGTATCATAATTAATCATAAAGTTTCAATAAGAAATTTTTAATTCGCAGAATAAATAATAAGTTAGAATAACTTAACGTTTAGAGTAAAAACATTTAGCCGGAAAAATTGGATATTTCACATATTTCATTCAAAAAGTGAACAAGAAAAAGAAGATTTTATGTATATCCTTCTCTACCTAATGTTTCTGCTTATTATCCAAAATAATGGAGACAGCTGATACGAATAAAGTTGTTATAACACACTGCACACTTACAGTATTTTTTTGGAGGGGGGAGGGGGGATTTAGTAATTGTAGAAGTTTTGAAACTGGATTGCATATTTTATAAGAATTTTTCTTTCGATGCAGTTAGGTATGCCGCATCTTCTTTCTTACTAAGTTGGTGAAAAGGGAATTAATGGAAAGGGACGATGGATTCTATCGAACGTAAGCATTGGCGGGTGCGCCACTAAATCATAATGCGATTCTAAAGGGGCGGTTCAGCTCTGAATGCTGGTTATTCAGACAAAAGAGAGAGAAAGAAAGTAAAAAACAAAAAAGAATCATCCTATTTTTTATGCTTTTTAGTCTACTCTCTAGTTTTAATGCAGTCTTTGATATTATTAGATGCTTTACTTCGTATCTTATTTCATAACATAATTATTTAAATATATAAATCAAATATACATGTTGTTAAAGAAGGCCTGTAATCGGCCTTTAACATGTACGTAATTGTTTCCCAAATTGAAATTTTCGCATCAAAACATTGACAGGAACTATTAATATGTAAATCATAGTGAAAGAATAGCAATATCAAAAGATTTTAGATTTTCTTAAAAATTGTTAGAGATTAATCAACAATCGTGTTCATTCAATAATGCGTGTAATTAAATTTGACAAAATATTAAATGTACTGCGATCAAAATCATTGCTTATATTTACAACATTCGTAGACAGGAGCATATACCTAATTACGCCGGAGAAGTTAACACGCGGAATTAATTGAATTTAAAATTAACATTATATATGTTTATTTATCTATTTATATATGAGATTGATTGCGTGGGAATAAAGTCTGTAGATGAAACGGAGAGTATTTTATTTTCTCTCGACAAAAATTTGATGTTTAAGATACGCCTTGTGGCTTTTGCCAAGTTATAAGACGATCGATCATAAACATTTTAATGCATTTGTCAATGTTAATGCACCACAACATTGATAAATGATGATGAGGGCTGTTTTCTTCTCTTGACAGCATTTACAGTATGAGAATTCGAACGTGTTGATGAGGTTCCAATTTCTACTGACTTAAGAATGAACCATTCGTTATGGGAGATTTAAAATGGAGAATATTTTATAACAGTATTATAATAATCATTTAAAAGAAATTTCTTGCTGTCTCCAATTTTTTTCGTAACAAGTATATAAAAGTGGAAATGCGATAATTTTGATAGAATTTAGCATTTCAAGAAGTCCACTTACATGTATAGGCTGTAATCGATCAATGAGCAGTAATAATGCGGATTACTGCGGTCACGTTATCTGACATTACTAACTGTAAACGTTGCGTAAAACTTTAACCAATCGATAATACATATTTACGTACCCCTATGTATGTAGATATAAAAATATTTTTTCAAGGAAGAACGCAGCAATATCGTGGGCAGGGTAGAAGTTAATGGAGTTTGAAGAGACGAGCCGCACTGTACATGCGAATGAAAGTAATAAAGTAACAGACATCGAGATTAGGCATGAATAAGAAGTTTCATGGTGTAAGAAAGTTTCCTGGCTTTATCCACCAAGTAATCGCTTAAATTCAAACTGCGTTTTCAAGGCAGTAGATTTTACAGCGTACAGCTGCTTCATTGTCTTCCGCAGTTTCCAGCTTCCTTCTTTCGGAGAGGAGTACAAAAATACGGTCACGGCCTGCACTTCATAATGCAAAGTGACGTTACATATAAGTATAATCGATGCCGTGATGAGTATCTCGCGGATGCTGCTGGCTTTCGAGGTCAATTACAAGTCGTTCTTTACCAACTCCCACCGATACAATCTTATTCCTCATTTGCTTCGTGTCTCCTGATTAACATGATTTTTCGTACTAATACTGTGACCAACATTTTTAGGTTGTCTATTTTATCTTATTTAGAGTGTTTTCTGTTTAACTTTCCAAACACTTTTATAAATGCAAAAAAATGATTTGCGTGCTGGAAAATGTGAAAGCGATGACATGAAAATGATTATAACGAAAGATTGTTCAAATATTCGACAAATCGAGGCAATTGTTGCACGAATTTAACCTGTCAATTCGTTACATGCGTTGTTATTATCTTGTTTCTGTCAATAATTTTATCGATTACGGTGGTTCAATTTTTAATGGATCGGTTCATTTTTGTCAAAATACATGATATTATAGGATTTTTTATTTATTTAGAAATATTAGAAATTAGAGTTTCCAATGATTTCTATCCTATATGATAAGTTTATTGATTGATAGATCTATTTACAATGGATTAAACAGGAAACGATGGTTATTTAACGTGAACTAAATACAGTAATGTGTTAGAACTAAGACGTGCTATAAATAACAACTAAATAGTTAATTCACAACTCACAACTAATAGTTTACAACGCTTAACAATTCGGCAACTCAACTCTCGACTCCTCACCACTCGACTGTCAACTCACAACTATCTCAACTCAATTCTTCACCACTTGACTTTCAACTCACAACTCCCCCACTCGACTCTTCAGGTGACGACCACCCAGTAAAAACTGCCAAGCCCTTTTGGCCTAACAACACTTAGGCCTTCTCGTAATATTGTTTATGGTTTACCCGATATTTTTTAGGCCATTTATCTATGATACTACAATATCATCACTTATATAATGAAAGATAAAATATGACCTAATTAAATGTGATTACCATCCATCAATTTTAATTTTGTAATTAAAGATACGCCTAATTAAGAAGTAGCTCAATTAATAAATTAATATTGAAATAACTTTTAAATTAATTAAAGGAACGTCATCGCATAAAAGCACGTTGGCTCGCAGTCTGGAAGTTCAATTTTTTTGTTGGAAGATACTATATTACGGACTGCAGTGTCCGTCATTAATGGAATTGCTCGGTATCCATGGTTATGAACGCCGTAATTTCGAAACTTTTGAATTTATTAAATTATCCGTCACGCAGAACAAACTTTTCATTTACACAGACTGAGTGCAACAATCATTAACCTTCGTACAGGGATCTGTCCGCGTTTGACGGTGGTTAATCACCTGCAAAAAAAGATGTCTTAGACTATATGCTAATTGTTCCGTAATTAGTTAACGAGAGGGAAGATTACCAAATGGTACGTGGCAGTGTAATTTCTCGAACGCGTCGACTGCGCGAACTAATAGAATTTTGATGAGAATAAGTAATGCGCTTGGAAACAAAACGGTCTAAATTGCTCGTTGTCAGACGCTAACGCATTTCGTTAATTAACTAACGATAATTATTGTAAGTGATTAACGCGGACCATTTTTGTTACATCGCTCATCGATGTGCAGTTGTAGAACAATAATGGTACTTTATAAATTATTATTATATTTTTCATTCATGATATGCATATTTTGATTGCTGACCAATGTAATTACTAATTTTGTTTTTACGTAGGCCGATTGTTTTGCACTTGGAATGAACTAATATAAATTTCTTTGTCAAATTCATTGATTTAATTACACATTTAAGTGAGTTCTGTTTGATGGTCTTTCTCCGTTCTTTCTCTGCTTTGATTATTTTTTGTATTTCATTTAAGAGTATCTTGGTAGAAAAGTATGGACGAAAATTCTCAAACTACCAAAGGTGTAATTGCACCGTTCACAGTTTTTGAGCATTTCGTATCGAAAGAAAGTCGAGCCGTTTAATGCCGAGACGGAGAAGGAAGAACGAAAAACAGGGCCAGCATACGTTTTATTCTCGTTTTCTCTTTTCCTTTCTTTATACACTTCTTAGATCCTCAGTGCCATCTCACTTATTTATTAACCCCATCCTTCTATTTCTTCTTTGATATATAATCTGAAATTTTCTCAATTCAATAAAGTAGTTGGTCGAAGACGTAGTACCAGAGGAATTAGGGATGGACCGATCCTTTAGATTCGCCGATTTCAGAATAAAATTATTGTCATAGGGTTGATTCAATTTCATGACGATTCGCACGAAATACGGAATTCAATTCAATTCAATTATTCAAGAGAAGCTTGATGTCAATTGCCCAACATTGATCAACAATTGCCCATATTGTTGTCGCTATATGTATATCTATGTGTCCGCAACAATGGTAAACATATAAAATCTAAAATCTACAGTTTTGGCGAGATCTAACATAGAACTACTCTTGTCAGGAATACAATCTGCTTTTTCTAAGTCAATACTATAGTCTTTGGCACAAGCATAAGTTGACGTTATAAAGGTAAGGGATTAATCTTAACAATTCTGATTTTGTATCAGATTCATTATTAATAGGTGAAATTGCTTAGACGTTTAATCTTTGAGAAAGAACGCCCGCGTATTAAACGGCGTTGATAACGCAGGCGCCACGTCAGTTTGAGCGTGGAATCCCTTACTTATTTATATGTGCTCAGTTAGTTCGAAAGGACCCTTTTGACTTTACCTCGCTCTAGACTCCCTTCCATTCATTGTAGCTCACCAAAGACTGCATTCGTATTTCTTGAAAAACCTCGACGTTGGATTTTTGCCGACGGCAATTCGACGTTCCCTCGGCATTCGTTTTATGGCCAGATGGAGAAGAATGATCTTAAAGGAGGATAATAGGGTAGAATGAATCTCGGTTGACAAACGTTGTGAAAAATGGAATTGTACATCTGATTATCTTGGAAAAATGATCGATCCTATTAATTCCGTCAGAGATTTCGTTATACTTGGAATTTTACGAAAAGCATGAATGCTTCTGATGTAATAAATGGAAAGAAAACGCCGTTCGGTTAAACGCGTACGCTGGCGAA